AAAATATGTTTAAATGGTTCCATTTCTTTTTCTGCCTCCTGAATTTTGAGTAATGTTTGAATGCATCAATTTTCTCTTTTATAGCCCCTGGATTTTAAGTAATTGTTAAAAGGCCTCCCCCTGCTCCAAAACTATAAAAGAATTCACTCATTTCCTTCATTGTGTCAACAATCCTCTAAGTAGGTCTTATTAAACTTTTTTGAATGAGGAAACTGAAATTCAGGGTTTACATTAGGTCTCTCTAATTCCTAAGCTTTCTCAGAACATGATTCAAAGAGTAAGACAATGAATTTATTTTCTCAGTGTCACTTTAAAAACATTTTGCAAGAAAACTTTTGCAAAATATTATCTAGGTTGCTAAATAATATGATCCTGTTGTTTCTGAGGCTTTAAATAAACACTGAACAGATCAGGTTTTGTCAACATTAATATTTGCGTTGAAATAAATACAAAAAGTCTCTCAAATCTTATAAACATCGATGTGTGAAGCCAACATGTTGAAACTGCCAGGACCCGTGCGCACCACCTACGGACGTCAGCAAATGTCCCTTTTAATTGAACGCTCAAAAGGATATCTGTGGGCAAGCAGAGAGGCCCTGCGGTGGCCACGCTGGACTGCATTAAGGGACACCTGGAATCCATGGCAGCCCATCGTCCCTGTCTCTCCCTTTCTTTCTGCCAGGGCCAGCAGGGAAGGAGAGTGCTGACGTGTCTATTGAGGACTAGGAAAAATACTCAGTTTGAGAGCCAGTCCTGTGAAGGAGGATGACCCAGTTGAAGGCTTAAACCTGCAGTCTCCTCTTCCTTCCAAACTCCAGAACCCTGAGAGGCCAATGTCCACATAAAAAGGTTACCGAGAGATTCACTTTATGCAAATGGCAGGGGAAATGATTTATCGAGGTCACCTTTCAGACCCAGAGTTTGTGACAGGGGCTCCTTGAGGATCAACTCTGAGCAGTTGGTATGCGCTGCCTAGAGCATGTGATTGAGATGAGCTCAGAGGCTATGTCTAGGCACAGTGCTACAGAGTGCTGGGCTTCACAAGTGATGTCAGCCATGAACATCGTAGGAGAAAGAAGTTGCAACCGTGCCAAGTCTCTGCCAATATTGACTGAAAGGGTTATAATTCATTTATAGAATCAAGACCTGATAGAAATGACTGAAATATGCTTGTCTATCAAAAATGCCAAAGTTTAGAGTGCTTGGTTCTGAAGGAGCTGTTCCTGCCCACTTTCCAAAGGGTGATATTTATTATCTAAAAGGCAGGCTTATGTTTGATTTTCCTTACCCTGCAATTTGCACACTCTAGTTCCTTCTCTAAAATCCAGTACTTCAGGACATAACATGGCACATTCCAACAGTAGATGTTCAATGAACACTGAATTGAATTATATCACATATAGTGGGTTAAGTTTAAAAAGGCACTTTGCACATATTCGCATATTCATTCAACAGTGACTTGACTGAATAATTATATATAGTCTCTAAGGTATAGATTTTTCCCAAATGCATACAATAAAAGTTTTAACTTTTGAAGAAGGGCAATGTATTAATTTATTAATTTATATCTCATGTTTTTTTGTATCAAGTCTAAAAACTCTGCCTATCCTAGCTGTTGAAATGTCTTCTATTTTCTTTTCTAAAACATTTATATTATTAACACTAAGAGAGATGTTCCTTGTTACTGCAGGACATGGGTCAGAGTTCTAGCTCTTATATTGTCTTCACTAACACCACAGTGGCAGTGACCTTGCTATTTCTGGATAATGGTGAAAGTCCTGACTCAACCTGAAGCTTCCTCTGGCACCACTCTGATAAGGACAGGAGAGGTACCTTATTACTATAAGGCAGAGTGGAAATGTAGACTCCTTACAATCTCCACTTACACTGTGACAGGGAGGAGGCCTTGTCACTGACTGGTGGGGATAGAAGTCTCAGTTCCCTACTTGGTATCTGCTGGCATGGGGTGGGTGGGGCTAGCTATATGTAGTCTTTCCTGAAGTATTTGACTGGAGTTAGAGAAAGTATTGTCTGAAATGTTTTCTGTCTTGCTAAGCAGCCTCTTTTCTGGTCCTTTGGCTTTTCTCCACTGTGTCTATCAACATTTCTGGCTTCCCAGATATTTTTCACACCAAATCTGGGATGTATGAGGCAAAAATAAATCCAGGGAACTCATCACTATGTTGTTCCTTGAATCCCAAGTTCCCTAGCCAGTCTGCCTTCTTCTTTAACATTTTTCAAGTCCTTCATGTTTATTTTACATGTAACTTCCAGCGTTTTTCATTGTAGTTGGAGGAAGGCCTAGGGAAAAGTATGTCTATCCCATTGCCCAAAAGCAGAAGTCTGCCGTGTGCTTTTTATGTCTTCTGTCTCTTTTGATCTTTTAGATCAAGAACTTATCCCAGGACCTATCACTGGATTCTGCACATGAGAGAGACTAAAAAAATACATTTTTATTTGACTTTATTTTAGAATATAAGAACAAGTACATTATTATAGACCAAGATCATCATATTATTTCTCCACCTCATCACTACAAATGGGGCCAGATGATTCTTTGAGATGAAGGGTAAAGGGGGATTTTTGGTGTGCTTTGTAGGATGTCTAGCAGGGTCCATGGGCTTTACCCATTAAATGCCAGTAGCATCCACAAGTTGTGACTGTCAAAAATGTCTTGAGACACTGCCCAATGTCCCCTCGGGACAAAATCACCTATGGTTGAGGACCACACATCCAATTTTTCTCAAAGATAGTGGGAATTTTTTAGTGTACTGAACCAAGAAGCTAGCCTGACAGGTATACTGCCTCCTATTTGATTGCAGGGGGAAAAATACACAAGGAAGACTTTCTTTTTGAAAACTGTCACACTGATGAGAACATTGCTTCACTTAGCCCTTTTCCTGCTTGTGAGATTTCTGAAGTCCTGATGGGGTCAATGAATGGCTTCAGGGTGGCAGTGCAGTGGGTGGGGAAATTTGCTAGCCACATATGCTCCCTCCCACATGCTTCACAATCAGGACGATGGGAGAAAAGAAATTATATTTCACAGTTTATATTTCAGGGTTGAATTTAGAAATGGGAGGTAACAACTAACATTTCCAGCAAAAGCCTTCATCCTTTTGTTAAATACTGAATGGAAAGACCTTTATCTACTTATTGGGCAATGACAACTTGTTTGGAATTTGAGTTATGATAAAAGACAAAAGAGCACTTCTGCACTTTCCCTATAAAATCTCCAAAATCCCCAGAGCCGTTGAACTACAAAAGATGATTAACTGGGAGACAATGAAGTGACCCAGTTCTGCTCCTAATAGCTGTCTAACCTTGATGAGTCACCTAACTCCCTGGTGCCTGATGCTTTACCTGTGAAATTGGGATAATGATAGTAGATACTTTATAAATGAATTAATAGATTTAAAAACCTAAGAGTGCTGCCCTCTGCAGAGTAGGGGATAGAGATGGACTTTCTATAATTATTGCTATTGTTTCTGTTAAGTTGAGAGACTTCGGCTGATATCAAGAGAGAAAGTAAATGCTGTCTATGAAATCTCACAGGTTTCAGATAGCACTGGGAGGTTTCAGATAACTATCTGTTATCAAATTCACAGAACCCTGTGGTGACTCTTTTGAGCCTGATATCCCAGTAAAGAGCTCCATTCAGGTAAATGGTACTAGAACTACCCCTTAGAACCACAGGACATACATAAGCTTATGACTTCAGGGTCTAGGGAGGGATGTCCATGGATTGAATTTACCAGGATGTGTTTCACGTAAATCTGTTATTTTCTCTTACTCTACTTTGTTCTGTTTCCTCAAAACACTTATGCAATCAGCAATAAGATAATAAGTCATTGATATGTTTGTTTAATATCTCTTTCCTCTATGAGATTGTGAGTGTAATAAGGTAAGAATCATGTCTCTTTCTCTCACAATTATATTTAAGCATCTAACACAGTGCCAACACATAGTTGATTCTCCAAATATATTTCTTGAGGGAAATTAAAGAGGAAGGAAAAATGAGGGAAGTTAAAGAATTGTCATCCAAACAGGGTTCACTGATGGCAAACAGGGTACACAGATAGCAAAAATATACGTATATGAGTGTGTGTGTGTGTATACATATATACTTTTAAGAATTCAGTTTCTTAAGCATTTTTTAAGTTTTGCCAAGGCCAAATTATGTAAAGAGCTTATTAGGAGACAGGAGGCCTGGATAATTTTCAAAATCTATTCTAGATACTTCATATCCATATTACATTATTTATCCTTCCCCCTTTTCAAAACTTCATTTATTGATTTATTCAATGAATGTAGTAAACACTATGTAGCAGTTATTGGTCTACTTCTGGACATATGGCAGTGAACCAAAGTTCTTACTCTCATGACATTTGCAAAGAGTGAGGGAGGCAGACAAAAATAAGCATGCATATTTGAACAAGTGGCTGGCCTAAAGATATAAAAGAATGCCCTGCTGTTCTCTTTAAAATTGTTTATATTGATGGAAGCATCTCAGCCCAGAATTCTTTTGGTAGAATCAGCCAAGCATACAGACCCCTCCTCCTTGCTTCCTTTCTTACATTCATTTAATGTATCCTTAATGAACCTACTATATGCCAGGCACTCTTCTAGACTCTGAAGGCACAACAGCAAATGTGGCAAAGTCCCTGAGCTCACAAGCTCACATTCTAGTGCAAAGACACATGACAAGCAAATAAATGAACATCCATCAAAATGTCAGCTAAAGGTCAATGCCACAAAGAACAATAAGCAGGTTGAGAGGAAAAGAGAGTAGCAGGGCAGAGATGCCATTTTGCATAGGGAAGGTCATGGAAAGCCTCTCAAGTGAGATGACATTCGTGCTGAGACTTGAACAAAGTGAAGGCATGCTGATGTCAGGAGACAAGGATCCATTGAGGCAGAGGAGTCCCTGTAGCCAGAACGTACCTGGTATGCTTCAACTACAGCAAGGAAGCCAGTGAGGCCTGGTGTAGAACGAGCACATGGAGAGCAGTGAAAGCAGACATCAGACAGGTGAGTGGGGCCACATTATTCCCATCTTTGGGATTAGAATTTGGGATTTCCTTTTCTTTTCTTTCTTTCTTTCTTTTTTTGTTTTTGAGACAGAGTCTTGCTCTGTTGTCCAGACTAGAGTTCAATGGCGCAATTTCTGCTCAGTGCAATCTTGGCCTCTCACTTTCAAGTGATTCTCCTGCCTCAGCCTCCCGAGTAGCTGGGACTACAGGCCTCTGCCAACACGCCCAGCTAATTTAATTTTTTTCTTTTTTGTAGCGACAGTTTCACCATGTTGGCCAGGCTGGTATCGAATTCTTGACCTCAAATGATCTGCTGGCCTCAGTCTCCCAAAGTGCTGGGATTAAAGCATAAGCCATTGCACATGGCTGGGATTGGGATTTAATTTTGAGTAAGATAAGAAGGTACTGAAAAACTCTGGAGGAGGAGTGACATGATATATATGTTTTAAACGGACAGTTCTAGCTGCCCTCTCCAGGCATCAAAATGCATCTCCAGTCTCCAGTTCCCACCCTCCGTGCCAGTCTTCCAACCAGCAGCCCACCCTGTAAGCTGTATCCTGGTCAGCCTGGAGACCAATCAAATCCCCAGGCCATGCCAGTAACTGTATGGTGTGCAGCATTACCACTGTCTAAGAGGGAATTGGATTCGGCTTGAATGACGGGAAATAAATAGGTCTGGCAGTCTGGGAAAGTACATAACTAACATAGTCAGGAAAGCCTCATAACTGTGTTCCCCTGAGCCATATATTTCTATGACCTGAAGCTCAGTTTCCTCACCTGTGAAATGTAGGAGGTTGAACTCGAAGACCTCTGAGGTACTTTCCAACTCTCAATCACTGTGGTCTCCTGACAGTTGATGTGTGCATAAAGGCAGCTGTCTTTGGACAGTAGGGTTGTGGAGAGAACTTGGGGGCCAACGTAATTATAACAAATAGTTCACATTGATCGGGAGCTTACTATGTGTCAGACTTTGTGCTAAATTTGTTAGGTGTGATGTCTCCTTTCCTCTTACAAATGGAAAAAAAGGTGGCGGCCGGGGGGAGGGGGGTCTTGAAGAGATTCTAGTAAAGGCTAACTCTAGTGTCCCCTCAATGAGTTCCCTCATAGTTCTGCCGTTCACTAGATACATCTGTATGTGAATAAGCATCTACCTTTCGAAAAATAACATTTGGCAAACTTATTGCCGATGTGGTTAACTCTGAAACCATAGCTGGATTTAAATTAAGGAGACATCTATGATTTCTGTCAAGATTATCTGCAATAAATGTTTTTGTTATTCTGTTTTTTGTAAAAGAAAAATCTGATTAAACCTGGTTGTATATGTTGCTAAATATCTATGCAACATAGCACACTCATTTTATTGGTACAGGTTGGAACTATAAAAGGATGAACAAATTACAGCATTCAAAATATGTTTAAAAATAAGAATGGAACGAAGTTGCAGCTTTTGGGTGCTAATCAAATAGAAATTAGTTAATTATAATGTATTGAGTCTTCAAATAAATATAAAATATTTTCCAGCTGGTAGGTGAAGAATGTTTTCTTCTTTTCTCCCTCTCTTCCTGTCTTTTCCCACTTCCTACCCCATCCCCGTTTCTTCCTTTTTTTCCCTCGTTCTCTTTTTTGCTCTCTCTCTTGAAGTGTTCTTCGTTTTGGAAATTTCTACTAGTGTAATATTAACGAAAACTGCTCTGTGGCTAAAATAACTTGTTAATTGCTGAAAGACTAAAGATGAGTGTCTATTTCCAACTGTGTTAAAATTTGCAGACTTAAAATTATGACTTAGTCAGGAAAAAAGGCCATGACCCATTCTTTAAGAACTGCATTTTTTCATGACATTTTCTTTTACTGAAGATAGGAAAAGATGGAAGCATAGTGACCCATATTTCCAAAGTGACTGTGAGGTTATATGAAATCAGTTGAAGGCTATTTGGGCAAATCTAAGTTCACTTTATGGTGCAATATGAAACAAGTACAGTGATCATCAATTCTGAACTGGAGATAAAGAGGCAATGAATATGAGTATCTTTTAGAACGTTGAGGCAAAATATTTGAAATCAGGACCATTCCACAAGTTTAAGATGTATGCTCTCTAGAGAGATAAGCTATAGTTTTTATTGTTGTTTCTAAGTTTTGTTTTTCTAGTACTGCTGCTATTGCATCTTTAAAATGCAGTGGGTTTTAAACTATCCTGGGAAAAGTCACTATTGCTGTTTAGATATTGCTGGAAATTAAGAGTGAAGGAAAACAGGACTTAGATTCATAGGAGAGAGAAATCTTGAGGAAGGAACCTAGATCTTCAAATAAAGGAATAGAACACCTGACTCTTAAACATAGCAAATTTGCCTAGTTTGCTTGTGAAGCATCAACTTTATTGAAGTTAGGAGTTCTCTGCTGAACATATGGTTTGGAATGTCTTTCATACTAAAAGGTAGACATAAGATTTTGAAGTAAAATACAGGAAATTATAGCTATAGTGTTAAGTAAACCAAACATACAGTGCCATTAATAAACTATTGTTTGAGGGAGGCAATATGATAAAAATAATAGAACTCATGATAGAACTGATCATGTCATGCCCGTGGTCAGAATGCTCCACAAGCTATCTATCACACTTGAAACACAAAGTCCTAACATGGCCTCTGAAGTCCTTTATAATCTGACCCCTGGCTCCATCTGCAACTTCATTTTTTACCATGGTTTGCCTCACCAACCTACCTTCACTTTCAGCCAAGCACTCCATTGTCTTTGGTTGAGTTTTTATCGTTGTCGCCTGACCATTAGCTTCTTGAATGAAGAGATTCTCTCTTTTTTTTTTTCATTTCTCTATTCCTGTGTCGGGCCTACGGCAGGTACTCAAAAAATATTTTTGAATGAATCAATGAATAATTAAACAACAAAACTCAAAATTACAATTCGTTGACTTTAAAGTCAGTTTCTTCAGTAAGAATCATGTAACCTTGGGAAGGTTGTTCAACCTCCCTCTATCTCCGTTTCTTCATCTCAAAAATTAAAAGCTTTAACAAGGGTGGTAAACTCTTTCTTTCCAGTAATTAATAATAAAATACGTGTTTACAAAAAAATTATGTTTTAAAAATAATGAAACTCCATTTTCTGGGTGAGCGTGTGCCTCATATCCGTTAACAATACTTCTTAAAAGCCCTGGTGCATGAAGACCTGCATGGATGGATTGACTGTGTTTCCATTTTGAAATTTGTCTTGAAATAGTGATAAGTATGTATATATCCACCAGTCCATGTCTTTGTATTGTTGAAGTGTATTTAATTTTCTGTCACTGGATATAAAAAAGATAGACACCCAACATTGTAATTTTTGCCATCTACATTTTATGGTTCTCATGTAGTGACAGGAACTGGTTGGAGTAATGTGGGCTTCAAAGCAAGACTGAAATGTAGTGAAATAATAAAAGCTAGATTTTTAAACAGCCCCCATTAAAGTTGTTGGGAAAATCCACACCCCTAGTGTTGTATGATTTTCAGTTTGACTGGTACTCTTTGTTTCTTACAATGAACTCAAGAGGTGTTGCTTTAAAGAAAATCAAATCTAGATTGGCATATATAACCCAGCATGCTACAATTTGATGAGTAGATAAAATATAATTAAGAATTTTATTATCTTTAATCCTAGAACTCTATGGAGTATATTCCTAAGTAGAATCCAAAAGTTGCAACATTTTGGGTTAATCAAATTTTCCCTTTGTTTAAATGCCTTGTACATGCATTGCATTTATCTTTTTTTCTTAAGCTATGTTATATTAATTGTAGGGAAGAAAGGAATAAATGAATTGATATAAATTGTTTGCTGCTGTAGCCTTTAAAAACCCAATTTGAATTTTCTCATGTATGAATCGTGAGGTCCTAGCCTCATTAATTTTTTTTTGGAATATTAATGACTTTTAGTAATTTATGTGAGTTGCACATATTGGTGATTTTAACTTTTTGTCTAAAATATTTGTCACTGTTTTATTTTCTGTATTTTTAAATTTCTTATTTACTTCTTAATTAATTTGACCCAGGCCAGGTGTGGTGGCTCACACCTGTAATCCCAGCACTTTGGGAGTCCAAGGCGGGTGGATCACCTGAGGTCAGGAGTTCAAGACCAGCCTGGCCAATGTGGTGAAACCCTGTCTCTACTAAAAACAAAATAAAAAATTAGCCAGGTGTGGTGGCAGGTGCCTGTAATCACAACTACTTGGGAGGCTGAGGCAGGAGAATCCCATGAGCTCAGGAGGTGGAGATTGCAGTGAGCTGAGATCAAGCCATTGCACTCTAGCCTGGGCAACAAGAGTGAAACTCAATCTCAAAAATAATAACAGTTAATTAATTAGACCCAAAAAGTCCAATTCATTGCTATTTTCCATTTGGTGAACTTTTCCCATGCAAAATTTTTAAATATTCACTTTACCCCACCCAGAGATTTTTAAAACATTTATTTGTTTCCTTTTATTTTTTAATTCATGTGCCTGCTATAAGTAAATGTCTTAGCAGATTTTTTCTACCCAGTAATATCTTCAAATCACTGTTGAATATTGTCTTCCTTGCCTATTGATTTGAAATGCATACTTTATTATGTATTATACTTTTATTTATTTTAGAATTTGGTTCTAGATAAATCATTCTATTTTATGAATTATTTTTAAATTAGTACCACACAGATTTAATTGTTTTATAGTGTTGTTGACAATCTGGCAGGCCTTATTACTATTTGCAAAGTTTTTTGAAAAGTTAATTTGCACATGTTTATTAAATCAGTTGAATTTGACAATAGTGATTCCCAGTCTCAAAGTCTTAAATTCCGTGAATAGAACCTATCAGAAATGAAGCTACCCTCACTCTGCAGAAATTAAAATGCATTCAGTTGAGGATCACTTTGTGGAAGGAAAGACATTGCTAAGAAATTTATGTGATGCCTGTGAGCAATGTGGGGCAGAAAGGAGAGTCTAGGCTGGAGAGGTTTTTAAAAAATCAAGTGCTAAATTAAGTTCTATTGAGGTTTTGTTTAGGAAGGCGTTACATTTGTCTCTCCACCTATATAGCTTATTTTACATCTCGGTAATTTTGTATTTTTTTTCATAGGAGCCCTACATACTTCTTACTGAGAGATTAGACTTAGATATTATCATTTTGGTAATGGAATATTTTAAAATATATCTATCTGATTTTTAAAATGTTTAAAATAAATTTTACTTATTTATTTACCTATTTCTTGTCACATTATCAAACTGCACTGTCATAGGTCCTCAATCCACAGCAAACCCTTGGAGACAGATATATTTTGAAGTCTTAAAGTTTAAATTTTTAGAAAGGTAATAGTAATAATAATAATCCAAATATATCATGCATTATAAATATATGTGTTTATCATGTGTCTTATAATATCTACAGTAAGGTATAAGGCCAGAGCCTATAGTCAATACACTAATGTGCTAATAAACTGACAATATTTTTAAATAGATAAATCAATGCTATAAAAAGCCTGACATCCACTGGATTTAGGCTTTATGATAAATGAGTGTGGACACCAAGCTTTTGCAAACAATTCTGACTTCAGAGCTTTTTGGATTTTTGAAGTATAGAGTGCCAAGTAGTTCTAATGTTTTCATAGTTCAACTTCTTATATTTTCTAGGAAGAGAATTACTTTTCTTCCTTTTCAGTAGAAATGCCTACATTCCTGTTTTATGCCTAACTGCATTTGCTAGAAATTCCAAAGCAATATGTAAAATGTAATTATGACACTGTTATGGGCCTACGTGAAGTAGGCTGTTAACTTTTGTCATGCTAAAAAAGTATCCTTTACTAAATTTGAAAAAAATCAACATTGAATATGAAATGTTACCATCATTTTCCTCTGTATTAGTCTCTAGTTGCTGCTGTAACAGGTTACCACAAATTTAGTGGTTCAAAACAACACAAATTTATTTTCATAATGTCTGGAGATCAGAATCCAAAATCAGTCTCATTGGGCTTTTAAATTAAATTTAGCATAAAGCTGCCTCTTTATATATTTTAAGTTTAGTCTAAAGGTTTATCCATAACAAGTGAACTGTAATCTAACTGAATGTATAAACAGACTAACTTGCTCTTATAACAGTCATCAAGCTTTGACCAATCACAAGCAGCCAACTGTTCAAACCATCTTCAAATAAGGCAAACACCAAGCTGTAACCAATCCAGCTATTTCTGGACCTTATTTCTGTTTTCTGTGTGTCGCTTTCCTTTCTGTGTTCATAAATATTATCTGACCATGTGGCAGCCCTGGAGTCTCTTTGAACCTATTCTGGTTCCAGGGTCTGCACAACTTGTGAATCATTTTTTGCTCAATTAAACTCTGTTGAATTTAGTTTTTCTCAAGTTTTCATTTTAACAGGGCAAAAGGCGAGGTGTTAGCAAGGCCAATTTCTTCTGGAGATTTTGAGAAGAGAATCTGTTTTCTTGTATTTTCCAACTCTTGGAGGCCCTCTGCATTCCTCAGTTCATGACTCCTTCCTTCTCTTCAAAGCACATCACGCCAGTCTCTGCTTCCATTGTCACAGAGCCTTCCCTAAATCTAGCTCTACTGCCTCCCTCTAACCAGGACTCTTGTGATTACATTGGGCTCACCTGGATAATTCAAGATAATCTCTTTATCTCAAGATCCTTAATTTACATATTCAAAGTCACTTTTGCCATATAAAATACATATTCATGGGTTTCAGGAATTAGGACACAGACATTATGGGGAGGCCCATTATTCAGCCTACCACACCATTCTATTAAGGCGATTATATGTATTTTCTTATTTGAATGTTGGTATGATTCAGTAAGCTATATTAACAAATTTTTCTACTCTTTTTTTTTTTTTTTGAGATGCTCTTTTGCGTCCAAAGAGGAGTTTTGCTCTTTTGCCCAGGTTGGAGTGCAATGGTGTGATCTCAGCTCACTATAACTTCTGCCTTCCAGTTTCAAGTGATTCTCCTGCCTCAGCCTCCCAAGTAGCTGGGATTACAGGTGCCCATCACCACGCCTTGCTAACTTTTGTATTTTTAGTAGAGACAGGTTTCACCATGTTGGCTAGGCTGGTCTCAAACTCCTGACCTTGTGATTCGTCTGCATCAGCCTCCAAAAGTGCTGGGATTACAGGCATAAGCCACTGCTCCTGGTGACAAATTTTTCTTCTGGTAAAGCATCTTTGCATTCCTGGGATTGACGTTGGTTATGACAGGTGTATTACTCAGAGTTCTCCAGAGAGCCAGAACCAAAAGAATACATATCCATAGATATACAAGATGAGATTTGATATAGTTTGGATGTTGCCCCCTCTGAATCTCATGTTGAATTATAACCCCCAGTGTTGGGGGTGGGGCCTGGTGGGAGGTGTTTGAGTCATGCAGTTAGATCCCCCATGGCTTGGTGCTGTCCTCAAGATAGTGAGTGAGTTCTTGTAATATCTGGTTGTTTGAAAGTGTGTGGCACCTCCTCCTCAACTCTCTTTCTTAATCTCTCTTTTGCAATGTGATATACTGGCTCCCCCTTTGCCTTCCACCGTGAGGAAAAGCTTCCTGAAGTCCCACAGGAAGCCAAGCAGATGTCAGCACTATGCTTCCTGTACAGCTTACATATGGAACCATAAGCCAATTAAACCTCTTTTTAAAATAAATTACTCAGTCCTTTATAGCAACACAAGAATGGCCTAATACAGTATTTGCAGGGCAATTGGCTCATGTGATTATGAAGGTTGAGAAGTCCTAATATAGTCTATCAGCAACAGAAAAGTTGATAGTGTGGCTCACTCCAAGCCTAAAGGCTTCACAACCAGGGAAGCTAACGATGTAACTCTTACTCTGAGGCTGACAGCCTGAGAATCTTCTGGGACTGCTAGTGCAAGTCCTACAGTCCAAAGGCCATAGAACCTGAAGTTCTGATGCCCAAGGTTAGTTGAAGAAGAGTGTCCCAACTGTAGAACACAGAGAATGAATTTGCTTTTCCTCTGCCTATTTGTTCTATCTGAACCCTCAATGGGTTGGACGGTGTCTGCCCAGATTGAATGAGGGAAGACCTTTCTTACTCAGCCCATTGATTCAAATGCCAATCCCTTGCAGAAACATTTCCACAGACATACCCAGAAATAACGTTTTACAAGCGATGTGGCTATCCCTTAACCCAGTCAATTTGACACCTAAAATGAACCATCACAGTGAGTTAGTCTTCTTATATACAATGTCAATGCTTTTTTTAAATGGTATTTTTCATTATGGTTTACTCTATATTGACACCTGATATTAGTCAACTCTGTGTGTGTGTGTGTGTGTGTGTGTGTGTGTGTGTTTTCCTTTCTTAGGTTTGGTAACTGAGTTAACCTGATATTGTATATGGTCGAGTAATAAAAACTCAGCTCACATTAGCTGAAGTGAAAGGGAGTTTTCTTTACTGACATTGCTAGAACGGATACTGGACTATCTGAGAAAACTGAAGAAAAAGTTGAAGGAATCAGGCCGCAGGGATTAGAAGTAGTAACCTGTGAACCTCAGAGCTTTCTCTCATTCTTTGTCTCTCTCTCTCTCTCGCTCTCTCCAGTTGTCACGTGCATTCTGTATTAGGATAGACAGGCTCTCTCTGTGTGACAGGAAACATGGCTAACAACAGACCAGCTGCAACAAATCCAGAATAAAGACCTTCTTTCTCAGCAATGAATGTGGGAGATGCCTCATCCAAGGTTATGTCCCTTCACAGGGTAAACCACATCCAAAGACTGATTTATATGGAAGTAAAATCTTTGAATTGTGTCATCCCAACTTAGGGCTGCTGTAGCCTCAGAGCTGCCTGTGGTCCCCTGCTGAGAGTGTTTGGGGGCCTGTATCACAAGTCACCATCTCTCTCTGCCCACTCCTATTTCTCCTCTCCCTTCCACAGAAATTGATCCCCAGCACACTTCTTAAACATCCTTCATGCTAAACACCATAGTTAGTTTATTTTATTTGAGATAAGGTTTCTCTCTGTCACCTAAGCTGGAATGATCACAGCTCACTTCAGCCTTGATCTCCCAAGCTCAAGCAGTCTTCTCACCTTAGCCTCCTGAGTAGCTGGGACCCTAGGCACATGCCACCATGCCTACTTAATATTTTAATTTTTTGTAGAGACAAGGTCTCACTTTGCTGCCCAGGCTGATCTCAAACACCTGACCTCAAGGGTTCCTCCTGCCTTGGCCTCCCAAAGTGCTGGGATTATGGGTATGAGCCCCTGCACCTGGCCTAAGCATCGTGTATTTTAGACCCTGCTTCCTAGAGAAAGCAGTGATAATCCTGTGATACTTACGATGAAATAGTGTTCTGGGAAAACTAAACACTTTTAACTGTTAGCAGTGGTGAGTCTGTATGGGTCTGCAGCAACCTCAGTTCTTGTCTCCTCAGAAGAATGAACTCAACTGAGGGGACATAAGGCAGAGTGAGAGATGGCAGCAAGTTTTAGAGCAAGAGAGAAAGTTTCTTAAAAAGTTTTAGGCCATGCACGATGGCTCTCGCCTGTAATCCCAACACTTTGGGAGGCCTTGGCGGGCCGATCACCTGAGGTCAGGAGTTCAAGACCAGCCTGGTCAACGTGGTGAAACCTCATCTCTACTAAAAACACAAAAATTAGCTGGGTGTGGTGGCACACGCCTATAATCCCTGCTACTTGGGAAGCTGAGGCAGGAGAATTGCTTGAACCCAGGAGGTGGTGGCTGCAGTGAACCAAGATGGTGCTACTGCACTCCAGTCTGGGAGAGAGAGCAAGATTCCATCTCAAAAAAAAAAAAAAAAATGTTTTAGAGCAGGAACAAAAGGAAGTGAAGCAGATGTCTGAGCAGGTGACTTGAGATATTCAAGTGTGTTGTTTTGACCATTGACTTGGGGTTTTATATATTGCCATTCTGCCTATGCAGTGGACTGCCAGCACTTGGGTAGGGCTGCATTCACAGTGTGTTTAGTGAAGTTGTATACATGCTCACTTGAGGCATGTTTCTCTTATCAGTTGAGCATTCAGAGGAAGGTCATATACCAGTTAAACTGCCATTTTGCCTCTTAGTATGAATGCTTGGGCCCACTCACCCAACTCCTGAATCTTCTCAGGAAGCTGCTGATAACCAGTTTCAGGTGCTTTCTCTCTGTTGGGAGACTCCTTTCCCTGGTTCCTGCTGCAACCAATATTATTTTAGAGGGACAGTTTAACCACTGCCTGACCATCACCTGATGGTTGCCTGACACTTCTGGTGGGAAAGGGGGGGCCTCTCCTGCCCTGCTCATGTCTGCCTAACTACCTATTCTAATATAACTACTACAGTCATCTTAATTTCATCTCATACTATTATATCTAGAATTTTTTTCTACTTATTCTTACATGGGATTTAGCTATAGTATTCTTATTGTCGGGGTAGCGAGGGTTCTTACCCAGTTTTGCATCAGTGTTGATATCTTTATAAGGTTAAATGGAATGAGATTCCTTTTCTATTTTTACCAACCTATAGCATAGATTATTATAACACAGGTATTTTCTATTTTTTAAACTTTAGGGAAAAAAGGTTTCCTGTAAAACTAAATGGTCCCAGAACCTTTTTTTAAGGTCTTTTTTTTTTTTTAAATAAAGGACGAAAACAATTGTCGGGTTGTTAGATGACTGCTGAAGTTGCACTGCACCGATGCCCTTGGGCTGCATAAAGCAGCAACTCATTTAAGGCCTCCATCCCTTTTGTTGTTACTGCTCCAGTCCATACGTGCTGTTTTGCTTTTGCTTCAGAAGATAAAATATGGGTATTTCAGGATATTTTTCTCTGACCAATGCCATCAAAGCTACAATTAATAAAAATATTCCCCTCTCTGTAACATACAGCCTTGTAATTTTTCCACTTGAAGAATGGTTTTAGTCTCTCTCTTCCTCTCTTCTTGCATTTTCATGTACATTTTCATTGAACAATGAGAGAGAATTTATCAGGAACTGTTAGCATCCCACCAAATTGACACAGAAATCCTCATGTCTTTCTTTAAAATGAAAGAACTTCACACTAGCTTGTGCTATAATCTCTCCTACTCTCCTCACTCAAAGAACAGCTCTTGCACACTCACCCCTCTACCCCCCCACCCCAGAGCACTGAAGGTGTTCCCTTGATTGCATTAACTGTGGATAACAATGCATACCATTAGCACTTCTATAGTGTTTGATACATGTGATCAGTTTCAACTTGGGGCAACCTGATACTGAGGAATTCTTAAGGCAGAATTTTCCTCTTGGATTCCCCAGTTGTCTTAAAGAGTGGTGAAATGACAAGGTGCTTCTCCAAGGAAACTCCCTGACAAATCTTGTTTTCTAAAGAAAAGTAGAATAAAGGTGAGGAGCGGGGAAGAGAAAACATTTAAATTCAGTCTTCTTTTACTTCCACTCAGTTGGTCATGTTCATTGTTTACCTGCAGGAATTCCCTCTGTTTATTCCCCAAGTGGTATAAACGATGCTTTATCAATCAGGCAATATGATTGTAGACCAGAATAAACCCTAATTTTCCTAAAGAGAAGTTGTATTTTTATACTTAATAGAGAACTGAATTCGAAATATAGGGTACTTAGTTCTGGTCACTAAAATTTTGGAGTGACCAAAAAGTTTTTAGTACAGCTTTGCCAAATGCTGTGCTAAACTAGAATGACCGCTTAGGCAGAATAGAAAGAAAAGGTAAATATATTCATTCTTTTGTCTTAACTTAATCAGCATGTTACTAAGAACTTTTCGTGTGAGCTGGTTTAGGTTTTGTTTTGACCCCAAATAATAATTATTGGTCCTGAATAATTAAGAATGTGTGCTTTTCATGTATTTCTTTTTTGGTTGTTTTTTCTGTCCTAGATTACTTCCATGACAGGTAGGGGTTGATGAACATATATGTATCTATGAGATTCAAGTAAAATAAACATTTTGATCCCTGAAAGCTTCAACAAAATCATCTCTTTTTTCTTTTTTGCTTACAGACCATAGTGCTAGAAAAGAGATAATGTTAAACTGTAATTGTGTACATTATTCACTTAGGAATCTTATTAAAATGCAGATTCTAACTCAGTATGTCTGGAATGAGGCCTGAGATTCTGTATTGTTAATAAACTCCCAAATGGTCTTAATACTGCTGGCTCATGAGCCACACTCTAGCCAGCCCCTCCAGTCTTAAGTCTCTTACTAACTAGCTGTGTTAGTGATATTACCAGCCATCTCAGGAACCTGGATTCCCTCTTCCACAGGGGAAAGTTATTTGCCTACTCACATGTATTAATGCTATTAAAGAAAATCTAACCATGGAAATTCTAAGGTGTCAAAGAATGAATCACAGGTAGTATCCTCATTTTAAAAGGATTTCTTTAAATAGAAATTTAGAATTCACAAGGGGACACTTTAAAGTATTTTTGATAAGTCATTCTACTTAATTCAATAAACCTATATTGGTCTTCTTTTAGGCAAAAGCTGTTCTCAGGTCACCTTCCAGCAATCCCAAACTAGTGACATTGTTTCTGCCCTATTGAAGTTTGTAACTTGCAAGATATTAGCAGTACTGAATAAAACTTATTGTCTAATATCTCAGAAAGAATTTCATGTGGAAATGAAAAATGTGAGATTCTAGTGGAATATTTATGGTAAACCTTAGGAGCTTCTAATTTTGTTTCCAGTTCATGGGCTAAAGAGAAATTAGGTTACTCTCTGAGCTGTGCTTGGAAATTTGGGGGCCCTTGGGATGGTAGAGGCCCAGCAACGGAAAAGTAAAGGAAAGTTCAGCAACTCCACTCAATATAAAGTATATGTTTTAGAGTTTAGTAAGAGAGAATAAGAACATAATGGTGACAGCCAGATTATGCAAACTTCTGAACGGCAAGTGAAGGGTCTGTAATTAATCTGCCACATGGTGGCGATTCACTAACTGTTGCAAGCAGGTAAATAATCTATTTGAATGTGGGCATTAGGCAAATTAACCTGTCTGTTGTGCAGATGTACGGGAAAGAAGACCAGTAGGAAGAACAGTGAGAAAGGCAGTAGCAGTAGGAAAGAAAGCAAGGGATGATTTGAGATTCCTTTAGAGATTGATTGGAAAGACTGGAAAACTGCTTTCATATAGAAAGTTGGAGATTGAACAATCATACGTTGACTGATAAGCTGGTGAGGGAAAGGTTTCAAACTTTTATTTTAAATGCTACTTTCCACTGTTGATGAAAAGTCATTAGAAATAGTCTCTGAACATGTAGAGTAAAATCAGTATTTCCAGTTTTTCTGAAACTTTATTGTGACTTGAAACAATGTAACAAAATACCAGTGCCATATGACTGATTTACCAGTGCTGTAATTTTTAAAATAATAAATATACACTTTATTGAAAGTAAATAAATAAAAGAAATAGTTTCCGAAATAATAATAAATAAATATTTAAAACCAATTTTGTGTAAGACCCTGTAAGGCTTTTTGGAAACATATAAGGCCAAGCCCATTCCTCTAGGAACTGATAATTGAATAGGTCAAATATGAGTCAATTATCAAAGACTGCTTACTTTCTCTCTACTTCTCAACTATTACCACAGGTCAGTAATGTTGACCATTCATGTTTTAGAATAAAATCTATCAGTTTCTTTATGGTTATCCTTCTGTTATTTTAATCATGGAATTTGGGAACCAGGAGGAATTCAGACTTCCTCTGGTGCAAGTCATACATGCTATAAACAAGGACATTTAGGTCCTGACAGAATAAATGATTTGCTTAGGGTCACACAGCTAGTTTGCAATAGAATAATTGCTGATCTAGTTGAGAATTATCTACCATGACACTTTAAACATGGCTCATTACTAACCGAATTTTGGATAGTTGGGTCAAAGCACTTTTTAAAAATCAAAATAACTCTGAAGTTACATACTTTCTAAAGATCTGAACTTCTCAGATCAGTGACACTTGATTTACTTTGAAATCTGATGTTTGTTCTTTTTACACAAACAGGTGGGGGAGGGAGGCAGCAAAACAGCCCAGGTTTTTAGCAGTCTAAGGAAACTATCACCAATACCCCTCATCTACTATTTTTTAAAAATTATACTCTGGGGTGTAAACTCCTGCTATTTGACCAGGTAGCCTGGGGAGTCTTTTTTTTTTCTTCTTCTTAGAATGTAGATAACCTTTTGATGAAGATGCTCAGCCATAGAGCTCCATTTTGAGGTTTGACATCATAGAGCATTTGTCTTTTCACTAAGGATCCAGGTGGCTAACGGCACAGATCATGTGCCAATGATCTTGTCTTTATGCCATATTTATTAGTCCTTTGTGACACTATCTCCATCTACTGATACTCTTCTCCCCAAATCCTCTTTCCATTTTCTTGTGTAACATATAAACT